TTGTGCAGCTATTGTGAAGGAGAGTGTTTCCAAGTACACATTCTCCAATTGCTTGTTATTGGTATATAGGAAGACTACTGACTTTTGTAGGTTAATTTTGTAACCTACCACTTTACTGAAAGTGTTGATCGTGAATGCGAGTTTTCAGTTGGAATTTTTGGCATCCCTTAGATACAATATCATATCATCTGCAAAAGGATAATTTGATCTCTTCTTTTCCAATTATTACTCCTTTAATTTCCTTCTCTTGTCTTATTACTCTTGCATGAGTTTCAAGTACTATGTTCAAGAGAAGTGGGGATAGTGGATAGCCTTGTTTAGTTCCTGATTTCAGTGGGAATGCTTCCTGTTTTTCTCCATTTAGAATGATGTTGGGTGTAGATTTTTTATATATGGCTTTAATTATGTTGAGGTATGCTCCCTCCAGTCCAATTCCATCTAGGACTTTGAACATAAATGCATGTTGAATTTTGTCAAAGGTCTTCTCTGCATCTACTGAGATGACCATGTGTTTCTTGTCTTTAAGTCCATTTATATGATTTATGATGTTTATTGACTTTTGTATATTGAACCATCCCTACATCTCTGGGATAAAGCCAACTTGATCATGGCAGATGAGCTTTTTGATGTGTGTCTGTATGCAGTTTGCAAGTATCTTGTTGAGAATTTTTGTATCTATGTTCATTAAGGATATGGGTCTGTAGTTCTTTTTTGGTTGTATCTTTGCCTGGCTTTGGTATTAGAGTGATGCTGGCTTCATAGAAGGAATTTGGAAGTTCTCCCTCCTTTTCTATGTTTTTGAAGAAATTAAGTAGTATTAGATTAGATCTTCTTTAAATGTGTGATAGAGTTCTACTGCAAATCCATCTGGTCCTGGGATTTTTTTAGTTGGGAAGTTTTGTGTTACTGTTTCAATTACTTTTTGTGTTATGGGTCTGTTTAAGCTGATAACCTCTTCTTGTTTTAGTTTTGGTGGTTCCCATGCCTTTAGATATCTGTCCATTTAGTTTAGGTTTTCAAATTTAGTAGCATATAGGTTTTTAAATATTCCCTTATAATGTTCTGTATCTTTCTGGTGTCTGTTGTGATGTTTCCCCTTTCATCTCTGATTTTGTTGATTTGGAGGTGCTCTTTCTTTCTTTTGGTTAACTGGACTAGAAGTCTGTCAATTTTGTTTATCTTTTCAAAGAACCAACTCTCGGAATTGTTGATTCTTTGTATTGTTTTCTTTGTTTCAATGTCATTAATTTCTGTCCTGATTTTTGTTATTTCTTCTTGTCTGCCGGGTTTGGGCTTTGTTTGCTGTTGCTTTTCAAGTGTGTTGAGTTGCAATGTTAAGTCATTTATTTGTGTTCTTTCCGATTTTTTGATTTAGGCACTTAGAGCTCTAAACTTCCCTCTAAGGACCACTTTCAGCGTGTCCCCGAGGTTTTTATTGTGTTCTATTGTCCTTTTCATTTAGTTCCAGGAATACTTTTATTTCTTTCTTAATTTCTCTTTTGACCCATTCATCATTCCAAAGTGTGTTGTTTAATCTCCATGTGTTCATGTGGTGATTAGGGCTTCTTCGGGTGTTGATTGTAAGCTTTATTGCATTGTGGTCTGATAGAATGCATGGAATTATTTCAATCTTTTTGTATTTGGTCTCAGGCCCCAAGACAAGGAATGGGGCAAGGCCCAAACTCAGAGGAGAGAATGACAGCAGAGATGGGAGGGTGAATGAGGGTGGGAGAGTCAAGATGCAGAGGGCGCAATGGACTTACCCTGTAGAGAGGTCTGTGGATGGGAGAGAGGCCTGTGGCCTGTCTTTCATGCCCTGGGAAGCAGAGGCTAGGTGAAGGCAGGGCCAGGCCCAGAAGAAGTGCTCCTGGGACCCAGAGAAGGCACTACGTTGGTCTGGATGAAAAGGATCAGGAAACAGTGTTGATTCCCCAGGTGTCTGGGATCCCAAGACAAAGAATGGGGCAGGGCCCAATCTCGGAAGAGAGAATGGCAGCAGAGATGGGAGGGTGAATGAGGCTGGGGGAGTCAAGATGCGGAGGACATGATTGAGATTTGTTTTATGTACCAGAATGTGGTTTAATTTTAGAATAACTTGCATGATCTGCTGAGTAGAAAGTGTATTCTTTGGTGGTTGCATGGAATATTTTGTATATATCTGTTATGTGCATTTCATGTAGTATGTCATTTAACTCAGATATCTCTCTGGCTATTTGTCCAGTTGACCTGTGTATTAAGGATAGTGGGGTATTAAAGTTGCCCACTATCACTGAGTTAGTGTCAATCTCTGTTTCATATTTCTGGACTATGGATTTTATGAATTTAGGTGTTCAGAGTTTGGTGCATATATGTTCATGATTGTAGTATCTTCTTGATCAATTGTTCCTTTGATTAGAATGAAATAATCCTCATCTCTTTTGATGAGTTTTAATTTGAAATCCATTTTGTCAGATATTAAAATGGCAATACCTGTTTGCTTCTTGGGAGCATTTTCTTGGAATTTTGTTTTCCATCCTTTCACCCTAAGATAGCATCTAACCTTGAAGTCACGATGAGTTCCTTGAAGAAAACAAAAAGATAGGTTTTGTCTCTTAATCCAATGCACCAGCCTGTGTCTTTTGACAGGGGAGTTGTGGCCAATGATAATTAGTGTCATTATTGAAATCTGTGTACTGTATGCTGTCATTTTAATTTCTTTGTTTGTGGCCCTATTTTGTGTTTCTGTTGTTATACCTTTTATTTTCTTTCTATAGCCTCCTGGGCATATTCATTCCTTTCTTCGGTCCTCTGTATGGCTTTGACTATTCTCTGCAGTGCTGGTTTGGAAGACATGCATTCTTTCATCTTATTTGTGTCATGGAAAATTTTCTGTTCCCCTTTGACCTTGATAGATAGTTTGGCTGGATAAAGTATTCGGGGTTGGCATGTATGGTTATTTAGAACTGGGAATACTTTAGGCTCTTCTGGATTTCATAGTTTACATTGAAAAGTCAGCAACAATTCTGATGGGTTTACCTTTATATGTAACTTGCTGTTTTTCTCTAGCAGCTTTCAGTACTCTTTGTTCTGTACATTTAATGTTTTTACTATTATATGTCATGGGGACTTTCTGTTCTGATCATGTCTTAATGGTGTTCTCTGTTCTTGAATCTCTATAGGATATCTTTCCTTAATTTAGGGGCGTTTTCTTTATGATCCTCTTGAAGATCTGTTTGATGCCATTGGTTTGAGTTTCTTCTCCTTCCTGTATGCCTATTTGGTCATTTCATGTTGTCCCACATTTTCTGAGTATTCCATTCCTGTGTTCTTTTGAATTTTGCATAGTCTTTGCTTAAGAAGTACAGATCTTCAATTTTACCCTCCAGTCTTGATATTCTGGTTTTTGTTTCATTCATTCTGCTTGTGAGACTTTCTCCTGTTGTTTCTAATTGGTTTATTCAGTTTTTCAGTCCTGTGTTCATTTCCTTTTGGGTTTTTTTTTCTCTGTTTCTATCTCTTTAGTGAATTCATTGTTCAGGTTGTGGATCATTTTTGATATTTCATTAAGCTGTGTATTTGTATATTCTTGAGCTTCTGTCAGAAGTTTATGCCTTTCCTCTTTGAATTTTTTGAGTTGTTTGCCTGTGTTTTATTGAAGTTCTTTGATCATATTTATGATTGTTCTTCTAAATTCTGTGTCCTGGGATTCTACAGGGTAGTTCTCAATGCTGTGCACTTCTGTAGGACTTGTGGGCTTAGTGGGGTACATATTTTCCTGGGTTTTCATATTGTTTGTGTTTTTGCATTGCCATTTGGGCATATGGATGTTCATTGTCGGTTATGTGTTCAACAGGAACTTCTACTCTGCTTTTGTTTAATTTAATTTTGGTTTTGTTTTTATTGTTTCTGTAACTTAGTTACTTTTTGTTTGGGTATGGAAGACAAATTGGAGGGTATTTCAAATTCTTGCTGGGCAGTAAATTGGTCAGAGTCCTGACTGAGCAGGTCTGTCTGCCTGATCTGGAGGCTGGACGTTTGGTGTTGAGGGGATTGCTGGGTGAGAAGTTAGGGATTTATGGTAGGGTGATTAGTTAATCTGGTTTGGGAAGTTGGTCCTGGGACTTGATGTGAAGCAGTTGGAGCCCGTCCTGTGAGAGAGGCTGGCAGGGGACAGAGTAGGGGTGGGTGCAAGAAATGGGGTAGGGAGGCAGTGAGCTTGATTTGATTTACTGAAGTCTTAGCTGAGCAGCTCTCTCCTAGAATATTTCTTGATTTCCATGTCTCTAGGTATTAAATTTATTTTTCTTTACCTTTCTCTAGAATTATATAAGCTAATTGAATAATAATACCTGGAAGTCTAGTAGTGGCTATTCCCACAGTAGGTTGGCTCTAGCTGAAAGAGTAGTAGTTATTGATTTTACTAATAGAAAGCACAGTCAGAGAAGAAGGCATGGGCTTTAGGAAAGTTGCTTATTAGGCTAGCTCAAGTAGCTTACCAGCTCATCAAACCTGAACAGATTAGGGGAAAAAAGGTTAAAAGCTAGGAAGTAGTTTTTGCTAACTTCAAGTTAAGCTCTCTCTTTCAGTTCTTTTCTTTGATATTTTCTCCTCTTTGATACTTTCTCCTCCATTCTTTTTTGTTTTAAACATTAAAGAACCATAAAATGCATTCTTCTTTTGAATATTTAAGTTTCTTTTGGACTAGAAAGTCTAGAGACTTAGATATGTGTCTAAGGTCAGGCTAGAGTTGAGAGAGGGATTAGGAAATGAATGGCAAGAAATATAATCAGAAGCTTGAAAGTGGGTAGTTACCACCTTTTTATCTGTATAGGCCTAGTATATCTTAACATCGAGGCAATTTTCCTAATTGCCAAGGATGTAGATTAGCTCTGTCTTAGGATTTTGTTGTTGTCCTTAATCTTTCATTGACTCATATTAACTATTCGTAATTTATGGAGAAAGAAGTTTAATTAAAAGGTTATGGTTTTAACTTAATTTTATTTCTATACAGTCATGGCCAGAGAGATACCGCACAAATTCTTCTATTACGAGGAGCCAAATATTTGCCAGATAAAAATGGAGTAACCCCTCTAGATATATATGTACAGGTATGCTTTCAACATATTATTCTGAGCCCATTTATGATAGAAACAAGGAATGATAAAGTTATATTTTTCTTAAATGAGACAGTGACTTCAAAGACACTTAAGTCTCTTTAAAAGTCCATTTTTTAATCTGAATAATTTCAAGTCTTGTTTTTAGGGTGGATATGGAGAGACTTGTGAAGTATTAATTCAGTATCACCCAAGGCTTTTCCAGACTATTATTCAAATGACACAGAATGAAGACCTCTGAGAAAACATGGTAATATGATGTTTCTTGTAGGTTGTAAATGAACAGCCTCACAAATATACTTAATAATTTATTACAATTATTTTAGTAACTTGAATTTGTTGATTTTCTATTTTATATAAAATATTTGAGTGTTTGTAGGGCTTGATATTTGTCTGTATATTGAAATTAGTTCCCAGGAATATTTAAGCATAACTGTATGTAATAATGTATTTTGTGCTGGTATTTGATCCTATAAATTATCTGTCTGTTTTGTCAGTCTCTTCTTACATAGCTATTCCTTGTGGATCGAGGAAAAGAATGTGAAGAGGAATACTATGTTAGGATTTGTGCTTATTATTTTTGAGCTGCTTTTTGTTGTTTTTGTAGTGCTAGGAATTGAACCCAGAGCTATGGCAAGTTCTGGAGCATTTGTCTCAGCAAAGTGAAAGCCAGTATCTAAAGATCCTAACAAGCCTTGCTGAAGTTGCTATGACAGATGGTCATAAACTGCTTAGGTGTTTCAGCAAATCAGTAGATAGGTAATGTCTGTCTGCTTTATCTCCTTGAATAGTTTATTCTGTTAGCTACCTATTATTAATGGCAAGGTGTTAAAAATTTTTACTCCTTATTCTTTGTTTTATTTAAAAAGATTTGTTCAAAACACATTATATATGTGTGAAATTCTTAATTAAAAAAGCATATATAACTATATAAAACTATATATTATTATATTATTTAAAAACTCTCTCTCT